AAAAAAAGACAAAACCATTTTCTACAGCTGTGTTTACTATCTTTACCTTTTATAAAGGAAAAAAATCTTAAACAGGCAACTCCAGCCTGAGATAAGAGGTTTCCCTGCTGTGTTACATAGCACAATCAGTCGAAGCCACAGTGCCCACCTGGACTTGCATCCCTCTGTGCTCCTGCAGAAGAAAATTAAGGCAACAGAAAGAAAAAGTCAATAGCTTTCCAAGTGAAGTGTAGCTGACGTAGCAATGGAGTCACTTTTAAAAATTGTGGGCAGAAAATATACATTATTTGCAGCCAGAAGCTTAGTAATACTCATATAGCCCATGGGCAGTTAAGCAAATTTTACTTTTTCAACCTTATGTCTTCGGTTTTATTTTATTTTACTGTTTCAACATAGCAGGCTCTAGGATGGTACATGCAGCAACATATAATAAACATATGCCTTAGTATAATTTATTGCTTCATCCTGATTTGTAATTGTGGGCATGTAATGGCATGTGCCCAGTGGTTTATGTGCATTTACCCCAGTCAATTGATGCATGCATTTCAGTAGGTTACTTAGCAAATCAAGGAACACTGTGGTTGCTGCTACAACTTTTCGACAGACCTCACTTTGCAGGTAACCTACTATGTGTCTGCATGCACCACTACTAGTCTAAAACGAGGTTTAGGGGATGTCTGGAATTTTTCTTGCAAGTTCCAGGAATCCTTGGAGTTAGAGAGGCAAAAGATACTTCTTAGTGACACTTGGAACATTAGCTAGCCACAGATAATATACTGGCATTGCATTAAATAATTTATTAGAATAAAAAAGGCAAAGTTGGAAATTAACAAATAAAATAAAAGATATAGGCAAGAATAACTGTATTCATACATGAAAAAAATTCAGAATGTACAATTTTCCCCACAGTTCTCTGTTGCCTTCTCTGTTATTTGAGTCTCTAGCTACTTCATGGGCACACTGTTACAGCTTTTTTACAAGTGCCATTCAAGAGATTCAGGCACATTTAGGGTTCTGTTGTATTGTAACTGTTCTGGGTGGCTAGCAGTTAACCTGCATAGCAAACTTGGAGAGGATAGGAAGAATGTTTTAGCATCACAATAAATAGATGAACCAAAGATGATATCATATTTGCTAAAGTGATAATACTTTTAATAGAATTATTCCTGAAGGCTGTTAATTAGGCACAAAAATAGGGAGGAAGTATCTAATAATTAAAATTGCCTGGTAATTTTTCCTAACTTATAATAATGATGGAAGAGATTAGAAGAGAAATAGACCAAATAAAGTCTTTGGAAAGCAAAAAGATAGAAATAGATCTACCATATTCTCTCTGAATTAAAATAATCACTGGGGGACATTCAGGAAAAAGCACTTGTCCACCCAAGGATTGTCTTTTGGGGAACAATTCTCCGAGAAGTTGGAATGAAAGTCACTTTTTTTGTGACTCTCTTTTACTAGGGTCATTAAAATTCAAAGTGGCCTTAAATGTCGCAGTTTAGGGAAAATGTTCTGTAAATGTTTCGAGTGTGTTATTGGGCTCCATTCCTCTTCAGAGTCTTATGGCAAGTATTTGGCATGTCTTGCAAATTTTATAGACCTTTAAATGGTTTTTCCCAAAGGGATTTCACATATAATTCACTTATACTTTCACAGTGCCTTGAGAAGCTGCTATGCCTGCCTGTTTTGGGTGGCCCTCAACTTTTATATATTTGCCTTTCATTTAACTTGAACTTGCTCATATTCCATATTGGCATTCCTACCTCACCCTTTATTGGTGAGTTTGAGTGGTAGTGTGGTGGCACTGCCTGCCAGCTACTGCTGTTGGGAGTGAAGTGCTTGCCTGGCCTTTGAACAGTGCCAAGTTTGTATTCCCCCTGTCCCACACTATGCCTAGGAATATCTAGGCGTGGAATTTCTGGCTCAGTCCTGGGCTGCCATCTCCCCCTGTCTTGCCTAATCCCTCCCATCACCATATTTGCAATTGTCACTTTCTCCATGGGCATGGAGGCTAACCACTGGGCCTGCCTAGCCTTCTTCTCCAGCCTCTGTAGATCAGCATGCTCCTGAAAATAAGAGCTGTCTGACTCAGCTCTCCCATGTCCATGAAAGACAAATGGCCACCTCATCTGCTCTCCAGGGGGTTGGGCTAGAGGAAATAACACTGATAAAAATTGCAGTTAGGAATTTAATTGTTGGTTAGCACTTTGATAACGGATATCCACTTTCAAATACATTTTATTTGAATGAAAGGTACTTCTTGAATACCTACTTGACAGATTAATATACTGAGGCCCAAATAATTCACTTTTATAATTCCTTACATTTGCTTAGAGTTTTAAACTTTTTTTTAATCCCAGAAAGTTCTTATGTAAATGATTGTTTACTCTCACAATAGTCTTGTGAGGTAAGTAAGGCAGGAAGAAACCCGATTTCCCAACTTTCTATTTGACACACACTATGTAAATTTGTGTTGTTATCTAAGAGTAGTTAAAATTTCCCCTGGTCAAAATGCTATCTGTACGCACATACAAAATACAAAAAGAGTTGGTCATAGACTGAAGTAAACATGCTACTCTTTTAATATAAACAACAACAACAACAACAACAATTCAGGCCAGGTGAGGCGGGGCATGCCTGTAATCCCAGCACTTTGGAAGGCCAAAGCAGAAAGATCATTTGAGCTCAAGAGTTGGCAACCAGCCTAGGCAACATAGTGACACCTCTAACTAAAAAAAAAAAAAAAAAAAAATTACCCAAACATGGTGACATGCACCTGTGGTCCCAGCTACTTGGGAGGTTGAGGTCAGAGGTTCACTTGAGTCCAGGAGGTTGAGGCTGCAGTGAGCCATGCCACTGTACTCAAACCTGGGTGACAAAGTGAGACCTCATCTCAAATAATAATAATAATAATCTCCAAACCAACAAATTTGGTATTTACTGTATGTTAAATGTTTTGAGTATATTATTTCATTTCATCTCTACAGCAGCCTATAAGGAGATGCCATTATTATTCATTTTCTATTGATGAATGTGAGGCAGACAGGTTAAAAAAGAAATTTAATTATTAATTATTATCCTGTGGCTAATAAGTTTATTGCATGGGAGGTCTCTAAAACCAGAAATCCTATACCCTGTGGAAAATAAAAGCGTAGAACTAAGGCTTTAAATACCAGAATAACGTTTCTGTTGCTACTCTTCTTTTCTTTGTGTTCTTACACCTAAAGACACATACAATAAATTGTGGCTGTTTTAGTTATAATTGTTTGTTTATATCAACAGTTTCCTTTCCCTTTAATCAGTTTCACTTTTCTTTAGAATTCAATTGTGTTGGATATTAGCATCCACATCTTAGGAAATTGAATGGAAATATACTATAAATCTGAGGTAGAGTGTTTTTTAGTGTTAGAACAAGGAAAATTCAGGGGAAAGTTTCTCTTAATAAAAAGCTTAAATTTATAACTGATGTTAAATGTAGATGGGCAATTGGTCCCTGGAACTAACTGAGGACAAACACATATAAAACTAAGCAGCAGATCTTGTCCCACCATTTGCTCCCATTCTTTCTTCTCCCTTGTTTTTCACCGATGTGTCTTACACATCTGTCTACAGACTATTCTGGCAAAATGTTCACCCTGTTTCTTTAACAAAGTTATGTATAGAATGACAATATAATTTATGATCCAAACTGGGACATTTTTGAAAGGGAAAAGGGGTTGATAATCACTTTACTAGAAGAATAGGAGTAAATTGGAGTAGTCCTGGCCAAACCTTGATTTTGTGGCATATTTCTCACACTCTCCAAAGTCCTCTAGGATGCCATCTTGGAAAGTCCTGTCCAGAAGCCTGGCATCAGGGAAGCTTGCCTGATTAGCAAAGCTTAGATTTTTTTAGTTGCCTTGGGGTTGACCTACATAGTCTATCCTCAGTAGGTTGGGGATGGTCAGGACCACAACCTGTATATATGCAGGTTGTGCACTGCATAAGCATGCCATGGTAAGGGGGAGTGGGAGCTGGAATCCAGCCCACACCATGCTTGCCCAGTCAAATGCTTAGGTGAGGGAAAGTTGCATCTATTTCCAACTCACACAATAGAATAGTAGAATTGGAATAGTAGACTTCCTGAGTACAGCAAAGTTCACTTCCTTGTCTAACATTTTCCTAAGTGTTCACTCTATATCCTTTACTTCATTTTGATTATTACCTTTTTAATAGTTTTGGCAGAAATTGTGCCTCCATTTTTTTAAAAACACTTAATCTGAATCCCCCTTATAATAGAAAACTTCAGAGAATTGGAACTGGAGGCTTCCAAATGCACAGAAGTATAAGTATACCAAAAGGTCTTCTTTTTTTTCTTTTTATTTATCATTATTTTTAAATGTTTTATTTATTTATTTATTTTTGAGCCAGAGTTCTGCCATGTTGCCTAGGCTTGTTTGGAATTCCTGGGCTCAAAGGATCTGCCTGCCTCGGCCTCCCAAAGTGTTGGGATTATGGGTGTGAGCCACTGTACCTGACTTGTTTCCGTTTTATCTTGGAACTTCCTAAGGCTTTTCAAAATCTGGTATACAAAGAAGATAAATGCTTATGCCTAAATTGACTATGCATTAATGCACCATGTTTCTTTTCTTACATGAGGTGTGCCATGTATAACAAAGCTTTCCCTTACTGCCTAGGTTTCCTCAAAGAGTGAAACTTTGAGGACTATTTCTTTTTCACAAAACTTTTGAAATGTATTCCTGCTCTTGTAAGAGAAATGACTATCTGGTGCAATTAACGTTGGACCATAGACCCAAAGAACAATGAATATTTCAAACACAAATTGCTTTTGAGAATCACAGTCCTATTCTGGGCTTGAAGACATTCATGTAGGAAATTAACAGAAAATTTTAATAAAAACTCTTTGGATAAAGAAAATTAGATGAGGAATGCCAGTTTGTCTTTTAAGTTGCTTGAGCAGATCTGTCATAACAGACATTGCCCCAGATTGTGGAACCCTTTCCTTCTTACATCTTTTAATGGTAGTAGAACTTACAATACCATAATTTCCTTTCATTTTTGACAGTGTTATACTATCTTTTTAGATTTACACTGACAGCATTTCAACCTGACATCATTAGAACATTTCACCTGACTTTTGCATGGTGCACATCATTACATTATGATGGTGCTATACAATTACCAGTGAAATGAATAGGATATTAACATGATTACTGAAAAAATGTTAGCACATACAGATATAGCATTCTGCATTTGAAGGCATTTTGTAGCTATTAATTAGTCTGCCCAACACTCCTGGGATCCAGTGAAGCTTACTTTTTTTTTTTTTCGAACTAGGACAATCAAAATGAGTGACTTAGACAATATTACAGGACCAGGCAGTGGCTGAACTTTGCTTAACTTCCTTGACTTTTTTAAGCCTAAGAAACTTGGGTTTAAAGATTTATACAAGTAGGATAATGAAAATGAGTGACTTAGACAATATTACAGGACTAGGCAGTGGCTGAACTTTTCTTAACTTTCTTGACTTTTTTAACCCTAAGACACTTGGGTTTAAAGATTTATAGTAACTAATCACTGTCCTGAAAGGGCAGACATGTGAGAAAATTCCACTTAACTTGGGAATCCCACTTTTTCTAGTTTCCATTTCATGATTATCATGGAAATTATTGAGTCAATTCTTCTAGGTTTTGTGCAAGTTTTGGGAGACAAGTAATCTGGAATTATTTAGTCTCCATCTTAAATGGAATTGATTTGGTCTGAGAAAAATCACTTAACTTTTAATCATTAATCAGGAAATGATGTGATCAAAGGATGACACAGAAACAACTTTAGAACTACAGAAATCTTGGTAATTGAAAAAGTCTCTATACTTTCTTCATATATTTTTTTCTAAAATATATCAGAAATACAGTGCCTTACCAATGACATCCTAGACTTGGGAGACTCAGTATTGTCTGGGGAGGAAAGGATGAACTGACTGCCTTTTTCTAAATAATATAATTCACCCTGTTTCCAATTTTAAGGTGACGAAATAAATTCGTTGTATGAATGAGTTAAAATTTTGCAAACTTTTTGAGCTTCAGTTTGTTTTCTCATTTGTATAATTATGCAGTAAATGTGTATCATAAAGATTATCAAGAGGGTAAAATGAGATGACAGATGTAAAACTCTTGGCTCAATGGTTGGGCACAGTAGACACTCAATAAAGTGGAGCAGTTCCTATAATTCAAGAGACCTTGACTGGTCTGGGAACTAGAGCAGAAACTTTGGTAGCTTGAAAGTGGGAGTTCTTAGGGGACATTTCTTCACTCTTGGCCCTTCTTCTGCTACATTTACACTGCCCAGAGAAGTCACAGGGATCGTGATTTTCCTTGGATGTTTTCTGCCATGACTTAGCAGTAAACATGCAGTGTCAGTGGATGGAGCTGGTAGATGGATCAGAACCAGTTCATCTGACTTTAACTAATATTATTTTATCAAATTTCTTAGATTCCCTTGCAGTCACTTGGCAGCCACATGACTAAGTTCTAGCCAATAGAATGTGGCAAAACTGATAGCCTCAGTACTTTCATCTGGGTCATTAAAACCCTCTGTGTGATCCTCCTGAATCTTTCAAATCCAGTGGAAAACTCTCAAGTCATCCAGCAAGGGCTCTTCACCTTTTTGAATCATTATGAATCCTTGGAGCAGTCTGGTGGAGCCGATGAGCTCTTTTTTAGAACAGTGTTTTTAAATGCATGGAATAAAAGCCAAAAGATTACAAAGAAAATAGATTATTTTGAAATACAGTTAACAAAGTATCTTAGAAAGCAAATCTGTGATATGGTAATATGTGTGCTTCTTTATTAATGCATTAAATTATAAGATCCAGTGGCAGGTATAATAACTACCATGCTTCCAACATGCTGTTAATATATAGAGATAGCCTTGATACCTGTAGTGTGAAAACAAAATCTGTGTTTTATGACAGATGACAAAGTTGCAGGCCTGGCAGACATCTTTCAGTTAACAAAGGGCACAGGACTTGCCCAGCCACCTCTGTAGCTTAGATCAGTATGTGAATCTGAGACCCTATATCCTTTATTGCCCTTAGGTCACATATATCCTCCCCAGCCTTGCCCCATATTCCCAGATGTTATCCTGGGGTGCAGCAGAATGAAGGGGAGAAATCTCAAAAGTTTGAGCCATAAACCTGAAACAGACTGAATTACTTGAAAGGGGAACTATTTAAAGCTAAAGAGAATGAAATAATGTCATCAGACAAATTTAACTTTTCTCACCCTTCAGTGGGTGTGGTGAAATTTTGATCACTAGGAGACCCTAAAG